AAAGTAAATTTGTTAAAATATCTGTGCTTTGAGGGGTTTACTGGGATGCAGATGTAGTTTTTTTTTAAATAAATTCATAGATATACTGGAGGCAGTGGGAATGGCACTGGCTGCTACACACTGTGGAGTGTTAACATAGTTGCACTGATGGGCACTATGATGAATAAACTGATAGAACATTCACTTTCTTAAACTTTTTCAGCATGAAATCTGAGGTGGTGGCTCTTTTTTCTTATGTCCAAAACACCCAATGTCAAGGAGTTTCAAAGACATAAACTGAAAACCATTTTCAGATGTGCTGTCCCACCTCAGCTCCACCTAATAAAATTGGTTCCCACTGACTTCAAGCATGTACTCTCATTCTCTGTTCTCAAGTCAACAACTATAGTGAGATATGGGGGGATGCAGACGAGCAGCCCTGGGCCACACCGGGAAGTAGAGGATCGGGGCCGCTGCTAGCACACACAGCAGCCCTGATTCATTTGCCACCTTTAAAAGAGTGGCAAAATGTTGCTCCTATTAGAGACGGCAAAAGGCCGCCCCAAGAGCCGGCACGCGGCGCTTCTCTGCCTCTTCCGGTGCAGCATGTGAAGACGCTGCGCTGGGAGGACATCCTGTCGCCACGCGCCATGCGTAATGGCATCTGGCATCAGGACGTCTTTGGGGAGGGGTTGGGGTGGCCAGCGTGCGGCTGGCCCTCCCCTTCTCCACCTCCAACACGCCACAAAGGGCCTGCCTGCAGAGGCCCATAGCCTTTTTTCAAATTTAAAATCCCGCTTAATTGCCTATGAAGGTAGGAAAATGGTAGGACCATTGCCCCAGTGGTGCAGTGGTTAAATGCCTGTCCTGCAGCCACTCACAAACCACAAGGTTGTGAGTTCAGCACCAGCCCAGGCTCAGGGTTAACTCACCCTTGGATCTTTCCAAGGTTGCAAAAATGAGTACCCAGCTTGTTGGGGGCAATTGGTGTACACATTGTAAACTCTTTAGGGAGTGCTTAAGTGCACTGATAAGCGGTATAGAAATGTACTTGCTATTGCTTTATTTTCAATAGTTATAGTCTGCTTAGTCACAAATAGTTCTTGGGTCAGTTTACAAAATAATAAAGTTAAAAACAACAATCATTAAATTGAGACTCCAAATTCAGATCAGAAACAAACACTGTAGTATAAATGTAAGAGGTACAAAAGTTTTTAAAGGCTATAACGGATGGGGGGGAGCATATAACTGGCTCTTAAAAAGCATTAAAGGAAACTTCAAACAAGCCATCTGAGAAAGGTATTTCTTAATCAGGGCCTCTCGCACATAGCAACAACTAACCTGACCTCCAATGATAAACTTAAGATCTGAGTATGCACAAGCAGAAATAGGTACCATGAGGTCTCGGTCTCTTTCTCACACTTACATTTTTTTATGGAGTGGGCCAAATGAGTATATGTGACAAGAACAATAAAAAATGAAGTTCTGATACCTCGCTAAGTTCCATCAGTCGTGCCTCATCTGGCATACGAGGATGCAAATTGGATTCAATGCTGCTCTTAAATCCAGGATACACAAATCCTCCTGGTGAGAGCCACAGCTTCTTTGATTGCTCCATGGATTCCTTCTTTACGCTATGCTCATCCACTGGCTCAAACATACTGGATAGATATTCATGACCATAAGCAAACCTCTGTCCTGGCACCTAGGACAAATCAATGTTTTGGAATATTTCTGTTACCATTAACTCTCATCTTTTGCAGTTTACCTATGAACTTAAAGGACTATAAAAGAACAGTACTTTTCAGCTCTATTCTTACAGCACAGTCTTGTATAAACTTCTAACATGGTTGTATGGACAGTGATGCAACTTGAATTATTAAAAAGCTACCTGGCTTGCTTATTAGTATGACTACTCTGTGTAATTTACAGTAACAGTTTACTGGGAACAGTATTTATTGCATTCACCACTCATGTTTCCTGAAGTGGCTGGATCCAGATTCAGGTATATACATCTGTGTTGGCAGAAGCCATTTCTCCTGCCCACTGAAAATGGTATACAGAGGATATGGGTACTCTGTTGAATGGGATGAGCCGCTGTAGAACAGGCAAAGTGGGATTCCTGACAACTGGGCAGAGGCACCTTCTGTCCACAGAAGACAGATTCTGCATCCAACCCTAGGTACTCAGCAATGAAGGCGCAGAAAACCCCCAGTAATTACCCACAGAGATCTGCAAATATTTTATATGTTATCTGGCTAGTTAGTAAATTCTGAACACACGTGATTACAAATGTGTAACTGCAAGTGTATTATTCACACACAAAAATCATTTAGAAACACCAGGAATGTTCTGCTTGGGTCATATGGGACTGTCAGTTAGAAATCTCATGGCTTAAAGAAAGCTTTATAAATTCCATACAATAAGAGGTCCTTCTTAATCCACTGAAATACATTTCTTGGTGTTATATAAACATAACCCCCTAATCCATAAAGCAAGTACAGGAATCTGGTGAACAAACACGATTGTCTCATCTTTATTTCTTAAAATCCAATATGCTTTTTGGAGCAAAGGACTTTATTTTCTACCCATCTTATTTGAACCAGATCTGTCCTGACTGATGTTCAGTTTTGATTATAATATATACACAATCTTCCAGCCTTTTTTTATTTTATTTATGCTTTAATTTGTTTGGTTGACATATTTCCTGTAGAGGGTATACAATAAAATTTAAAGAAAGACTGGTATATGGTTGTTCTCTCACCTGTGCCATCTCCTCTCGAAGTAGCTTCTTTGCAATTTCTGCAGAATTCAAAGTCTGACAACTGTAGTTAAAGATGGACTTGCCATCAGAAGGAAAAGCCCTGATGGTTTTAGGGACTTCCTTTTTCACCATCTTGCTGAACAGGTTCAAGTTCTCAATATTGGACTGGAAGAAACATTAACACATGAAAATATTCTGATCCTATATAACTCTTATTAGATAGAATAATTTAGTTCTGAAAATAAACATGGACCACTATTATGGAGAACATCAGTAACCATAGAGTGTCAGGCAAGGCAGATCCAAAATGTGAAGTCGTAGGCTTTCATGGCTTGCATCCATAGTTTTTTTGTGGGTTTTTTGGGCTGTGTGGCCTACTAAAATTATAGGGCAATTCTCTGAAGATGCCAGCCACAGATGCTGGCGAAACGTCAGAAAGAAACTCTTCTAGAACATGGCCACACAGCCCGAAAAACCCACAAAAAACTACAGATCCAAAATAATCACTAGAGCAGTAAGGTAAAGGCAAATCTTCACTTTCTACACCTTTTGAAAACTCACCATCCAAGATATTCACATAAGGAGATAACTCTTAATGTCTCTTGAGTCTGTTTCTGGATTCTCCATTCCAAGCATGCATCTGAGGAGGTAGGTTCAAGTCTACAAAAGCCCATGCTATCAGCTACTTTCAGTTAATTTCAAATATGGTATAAGATTTCTTTACAAGAGGGACATTGGTGTTTTGTTATTGTGTGGCATATGAATGAGAGTGTTTGTCCCAACAACAGATTGCAACAATACAGCATTTGACAGAATCCTCTCACAAGCTTGAACCAAAACTGTGTGCGCATGTGCATGCACATATGCCTTATGGTTGACTTATGGTGATCCTATGAATTTTATAGGGTTTCCTTAGGCAAGGAATACTCAGAGGTGGTTTTGCCAATTCCTTTTTCTGAAATACAGCCTACAGCACCTAATATTTGTTAGTGTTCTCCCATCCAATTACTAAGCAGGACTGACCTTGCTTAGCTTCCAAGATCAGATGAGATCTGGTGCCTTTAGGGTATTTAGACCCTACTAAAATTATAGAGCAAATCAAAAGAAAAAACACACACATTCTGCTGCATACATTTCCATAGGTGAGATATGCTGATAACAATCCTCCACACACAGGCTGCAGTAGCACATTTCTCTAAGATTCTAACACATCTATATTGGAATGATCTCAATCTTTCACTCTTGCAGCAAACTCACCTGGATATAGTCTTGTGGAGTCAGATTTTCCATTTCCTTTTTTTTCATTATGTACTCTTCATTATGGTTATCCAAATGGCAGCGCATATCTCGCCTCCTATGCAAACACTTGATTGGAATATTACATCTGTCTGAGATCTTTGGGTACTGCTCAATAACTAGGTCATCTTTACTCAATGGAATGCCAAACTCTTGACTCAGCATTGTAATCATTTCTGCAGAAGGCAAAAGATTGTGATGGATCACGTCCCTTAACTTTGTAACTTGGCAGATGTAATCAAGCCTGTAGAATAAAGAGATCAAATAAGAGAAGTTAACATTTTGGATCTGCATTTTCACAAAAATACAATTATTTTATTTTGGACTAATATACAAATAGATAAAACGCTTGTCTATTCAGCACTACATCTTAACAATGTATCCATGACCAATACTCCCGGAGAGTAAATGGAAAAACAGAAAAGTCCTACTTTTCTTAAATTGTCAACTTTATAGCCCAGGACAAACCAAAAAGAATCTTGTCATTTGGAGCTATCATTGTCATTTGGAACTATTAAAGGTTGAGTCTCCCTTCTCTGAAATGCTTGGGACCAGAAGTGTTCCATTATTTGGATTATTTCAAATTTTGGAATACTGGTTGAATCTCCCTTCTCCAAAGTGCTTGGGACCATTTTTTTGCATTTTGGATTTTTATTTATTTTGGAATATTTGCGTATACATAATGAGATATCTTGGAGATGGGACCCAAGTTTGATCATGACATTTGTGTTTCATATATACCTTATACACGTAGCCTTAAAGTAATTGTATATATAATATTTTTAATAATTTTATACATGAAACAAAGTTTGTGTACAATGAACCATCAGAAAGCAAATGTGTCACTATCTCAACCACCATGTGGACAGTTTGGATTTTGGAATGTTTCAACATTCTGGATAAAAGAGACTCAACCTGTACCTGTCTGTTTTTCTATATAAATAATGAGACTAATGAGAGAGCCAGTGTGGCCTAGTGGTTTGTGTGTTGGACTGCAACTCTGGAGACCAGAGTTCAATTTCCTCCTCGGCCATGAAACCCAGTGGGTGACCTTGGACAAGTCACATGCTCTCGGCCTCAGGGAAAGGCAATGGCAAACCTCCTCTGACCAAATCTTACCAAGAAAACCTCACTCAACTTGGAAGCACACAACAGCAGCAATGAGACTAAATGAAGCTGGAGAGAGATGGAGGATCCGTGAAAGGATGGAAAGCGTGGATTCCTGCCATTTCACAGATCCTTGCGTTTCTCTCCAGCTGCATCTCCCTCCAGCCTGGCAAATACAGAACAAACATGTACTATGCTACTGGTATTATAGCTCAAAAAGTTTTGGATTTTGGAGTACTTTGGATTTTGGAATTCCAGATAAGGGATATTCAACCTGTATCTGAAAAGCAGAGAAAGCAACATTGTTGCTGTTGTACCATTTCCCTGGGACCTCAGACAGCTCTATACACGCTTCAAAACACTTTTGTTTTTCATTTTCTAAACATGCTTGTATGTTACCATATTTTGCCCTGTTAAGAGCTGCCAGAGAACTGTCCAACCAGGTGGTGGTTGTAAACATTTCAGTTTGTGAAATAAGATATTTTAGTGTTCCAATTCTTCTAAACTAGAGTTGGGCAAAAAGTGGCCCCCAGGAATGAAAAAAATACATGTTGTTATTTTGGTTTTTTTAAAAAGTTTTTTAAAATTCTGAAATGGCTCAAAATGCTCTCTGAGAGCCTGAAGGCCATTTCCACCATGTGTAGAGACCTTCTGGGCTCTCCAGGAGTCAATTTTTTGCAACATTTCCCAAATATTTTTTGCCACCAAATTGCCTTCAAGACTAGGGAACATTTTACCACATTTTGGGATTCCCTTAGGCCAATTTAGGCCCAGGAAAGGCCTGTTTTTAAACAAAACAAAACAAAAACAAGACATGACTTCTGCTCATTTCCTGCTGTTTAAAAAGATCCCTCCAAAAAAGGCAGGCACAAAAATAAGGTGACAATGCCCCTTTATCCCTATCTATAGTCTAGTCCAGGGGTTCCCAACCTTTTTGACTCCCAGAGCCCTTTTTAGAATCTGTTTCTATGGCAGAGTCCCTAAGAAGCCTATCCTATGCCTTACAAGTTAATGGTGTTACTTTTTGTTTTTATTCTTTAATTTCTTTCAATTTTTATTTCCTTCATTTTCCTGGAGTGACCAGAGAGCACCTAGGATCAACACTGGGAACCAGACAAAGGAAGCATGGCAGTTCCACTGGTCCTCTCAGCTGCTTTCAGTATCATCAGTGATAATCTTCCAGACTATTTGATTGAAATAGGACATGGAGGGCACCATTTTGAAATGACAACTGATCCTATTTGTATATAGCAATATAGCAGGTGATGCTGAAATAGGACATGGGGGGCTATTTGTGTTTGAAGTGACACTGATCCTATTTGTTTTCAGAAGGGGGTATTAGGGGAATAGCCTCATGGATCTAAGTTTGTGGGCTTCCTCAGGGCTCAATATGGTCCCCTATGTATTTATAAGTTTACATAAAGCCACTTAGGGCCTGTACAGACTGCCAGAAATAATCCAGCTTGAGACCACTTTAACTGTGTGGGCTGAACACTAGGGTATCATGGAAACTGTAGTTTATTGTGGCACCAGAGCTCTCTGACAGAGAAGGCTCAATGTTTCAGAAGAAAACTACAGTTCCCATGATTCCCTAGCACTGAGCCAGGACAGTTAAAGTAGTCTCAAAATGGATTATTTCTGGCAGTCTGCACAGGCCCTTAGAGAGGGCATCCAGAGTTTGGGGGCTGGGTCTCATCACAATAGTGATCATATAATTTTATTCCACTTTTCCAACTAATTTCAAGGAGGCTGTGAAAGTCCTCAGTCCCTGACTAAATATGTAAGCAGATGGATTCAAACCAGACAAAATAGAGGTTTATGCAGCAGACAGACCAACCTTGTATTGGGCTTACAATCTGTTCTGAATGTTGTAGAAGCAAAGGGTCTTGATTGAACTGGATCCCATTATTAAAGTAGCATGCTGCTAATGAAAATCTGCAGAGATATTTTCCCGCTCTGCATATTATTTCAGTTGTGATGTCAGATATAAGCCTTTACTGAGAATCTCAAAAATGATATGAACATTTCCTCCAATGAGAACTAGTGGAGATACATACATACTTACAGAGAGAGAGAGAGACATCTTTAAACAGTATGTTAGAAGTCCGAAAACATGCTAACCTGATCAAAGCTTCAAAACATGGCTGAGGAACCATATCCCTGATATACAGCAAAGGCTGCTTCATGATACTAGTGAGTGGCTTGCAGAGGCGAATATGAAACACAATAGCTTCAAGATCTGCATACAGCCGTTGATGAAAAGACAGCTGTGAGTTATAAAATATTTGTAATCTTCCAGTTTTAGCTTCTTGCAATCTGTAACATACAAGAAATAGGACTGTGGGATTAACCAAACATTCTGTAATCATCTGCTTTTGAACTTCCACATATTTTCTTCTCTTTTAAGCTTCCTAATAGAGGTATTTTTAAATGCAGGTAAATCTCCTACAAAACAAAGAGAAGCAAACACCACATTCTTATTTTATAAATCCTTCAATCAATTTAATCTTCAACTATGTTCTTTATACAAAAGATGCAAAGTGAAATTCACACTTTTCAACAAAAAGTAA